AATCATTAGGCAAACACTCTTCATGGAGGGAACAGCTAAGAGGCCCAGGGGTCCCACGAGACTATCTAAAAATGTCAAAAATGTTACAGTATAAATGAATGACACCAACAAGAGAGCATGTGTTAGTGATGCAAGCAATTAGTTAATATATTACAAGTTGCAACCTCGGAGCAAAACAGGCAACAAAAATTTCCTCTTGACACAAGGGCTATAGATAGATCAAGTCAATTGCCAAACAATACCATCTCCCTGAATTGGAACGTCCCACCAACAGGCTGGAAGGGAGGAATGATTCAGGGGACCCAGGGGTTTGTAGGGTGTATTGCCCGGGTCTGTCCTGCCTTGCCTGAAAATGAAGGTTTGACTGCTGGCTGTCGAAGGGAAGTGGCACTCCGTGGATCTGGTTTACGAAGCAAGCAGTGTGCTCCTTGCTCGGGCTTCTGGATGAAATTTAGAAGGTAGAAGGAAATCTCACTGCTGTTTTTCAAGGAAAGGAGGTGCCTGCAAAAGGCAGTGGGGATGGGCATACTATATGGATAATTGCTCACTCATTGCTTTCCAGAGGCGATGTCTTAAATATATTGTATATTGTACAGTTTTTCTTTCTATATATGTGCGTGCGCGCACGTGCATGCACACACACATGCATATATACTGGAATACACCAATACATATGAGGAAAATGTTTTAAGCAAAAACAAAAAATCAAAACCAACACGCACAAACAGAAAACAATGTTTACATTGAAAATATGCACAACACGCACTTGAGGTAAGGGTTCCTTAGAAACAGGAGGAAAGATCGAGAATCTAAGAAAGAAGGGATGGAAACTTGAGTTCACTAACTCCACATGCAAAGAAAAATTTGTAGACAGTTAAAAATGTCCGCCCCTGTACACACACACACCTACACTTTCACACTTCCTCTGTTTACTAAATAACATTTCAGCACAGTTTTCATCTTATAAGGAAAGTGTTTGAAACTTGGAATAAGTGCACTTAATTAAAGGAAGGCTGTGAAAATGTGCACTAATCTGATATGACTAATAGCAAAGTGCATGAAATTGCTAATTAGAATTTCATTAAAGGTGCTGCTTTATCAGACTGTGAATATCACAACCTTTAAAATTCTTTCAGGAGAGCTTAATTCCTTTTCAAACAGAAATATTCTTTAAAGACATTTGATTTGTTCTGAAGGAATTCATGGCTTAGGCTGGAACTGCAAATGTTGCCGATATTCCGGGAGGTGCTAGCAGAATAGGAATACAGATCAGGGACTTTGTCTCACTGGCCGGATGAATCCCTCCCTCCCCCACCTCTACAGATTATTGTTCAAAACCCCCAGTCACACCGAAAAATGGAGTCAAGTTGTTGGTTTCTTCCACATGTCATTTGTTTTCTGCTGAAGGCAAACACTTTTTTCCTCTTCTAAAAGAGTAAAACAAGATTTACTTTAAAAAATGGACAAGTCACTAAAAATAAATGAAACATTTAGTTGTCGCATGCATTGAGGCAGTCAACAACATATTATTTTTCTTTAGAGGAAACGAGCATATATTAAATAAAAAACTCAAACAAAACCAGCCAATAACCTTTACTTTCTTTAAACGAAACTACACAACAACAATACAAACCTCTTCAACCACAAATAAAATTTTCATGATGAAATTGCAGTTTTTAAAAATGGGAGCGTTAGGAATAATTTTTTTCTTTCCCTGACTTGTGCCCGGTTATATAATTTCCTTATTTCACATTTTATTTATTCCCCACACTAACTCTGCACACCCGCTTGCTTTGTACCAACCAGGTTTTTACAAACCCACCTTTTCATCCCATCTCTTCTCTTTTCAACCTTAGTTTCAGCCACTTCTCAGTTTCATATGCAATCTTCTCTTTTCAACCTTAGTTTCAGCCACTTGCCCTCAGTTTCATATGCACAACTTGCTATAAAATGCTACTCTCTGCTCATAACTTCCTAAGTGACTCCTTGTATTTTTTTTTTCTAGTTGCTCAAGAGTTCTTAGAATTAGTAACTGGGTTCTTAATACTCAAGCCTTACTGAACAGTTACATTTTGTTACTAATACCCCATTCAGGTTAATGAAAATGACAGCTTTCTGAAATGTCAATTTACTTTTGCAGAAGTTGTTAAAAAAAAAAAAAAAGCCTTGCTGACCACACTTAGTTACCAGTGATGCAATTTTGCAGAAATAGTCCAAATACATTTGAAAACTTTGGTTAAAAGCTAATCAGCCATATTTACATAATAACCATATCTGAAAGGGGAGAAAATGAGAACAGAAGTCACTTTGAGAAATGGTGTGGTTTTCTTGGACATTTAAACAAATCTCAAGTGAATTAATTACAGCTTGCTCTGATTTTAACTCCGTAAGAGGAATTTTCATGGCATTGAGATCATTTATCAACCGGGCTAGGTAACAGAGCAGAATTGCATTTTCCTATGCAGCATTTGGGGGGGACATTTGTACAATAAGTGCAACGATTTTAAAAAATCGGTCTAGACATAAATGAATGAAAATTAGGCTTGTTAACTGCACTGTCTGGAGTCCGAGGTGGGGGGGTGTCCCGCTTGCCTCTGGTGGGCCACCATAGTCAAACAAAGCTGCTAATTTGAATGTTTCGAGTTTCCAAAGGAGAAATATTGTTCCACTAAGGCCACAATGGAGCTGCTGTCCTTTCAAGCACTCTGCGATTACAGACTCCTTGTGGCCGGTTTTATGCAAAACAAATGGCAGGTAATTGTGATTTAATTCTTTTCAAGTAAATTACAGCGAGTGCGAGTGCGTGACACACAGCCGCGGCGGACCCTCCTTTCTCCGTCAGTAGTTGAATTAAGGATGGCAGGAGTGAAAACAGCAATTGTGCCCAACAGTCCTCCTCGGGTCCCTCACCCCCGCCAACGGGGGACCTGCCAATCAGCCCGCGCCGGCGTCAGCCTGGGAATCCTTAGGTCGCGGACTTCGGGATGGAACGTTCTGGTATCATTACGCAGGGTCACTGAGCCCAGGGCTCCTTCAGATCCCTGCAGGGGTCAGCGTCTGTGCCTACAGGTGACCGCGTCCACAGCGTGGGCACGGCTGGCACCAGGGCATCCTGCGCTGGAAACGCGCGCCGGAGCCGACTGCGCCGAGGGCTCACCGGCTGCTTGGCGGTCCCGAGTGCTTTGAAAATAACAGAGGCTGACCCGGTCACGGTCGCTCCGTAAGAGACACCCGGAGGGCGCCTGTGGGCGACCACGCCGCAGAGCAGGAGCTGGGGGAGGCGCTCTCTGAGCCTTATCTTGGCGCGACGCGATGGCTGCTCTCTGCGCGTCCCTTGGCGCGCCTGGACTGCGACCTTCAGAGGAAGGAGCTGCGCTGGGCGCTGGGCGCAGGGCGGCGGCGAGGTGGATAAGGCGGCAGGGTCGCCCACAGCTGAGAGGCACATGCGTAGTGGTCCCAGCTGAGACAGCCTGGGGGCAGAAGGGGACTTCGAGTGGAGCGCGGTACCTGCACACAGTAGGTGCTCAGTAACAGTGGAACTGACCACCACGTAGAGCTCAGTGTGACCCGACCACGGCACTGAGCAAAATCCAGACTCCTTCCAGACGCCACAGGGCTAGGCCGCCGGCTTTCGCTTGGCCACCTGCTCCAAAGGAGTCTGGATTTGGAATGCCAGGGACGGAATCGTTTGTACCCTGTCCTTAGCCGCGACTTGGAGCACTTCACCTGTGTGGCCTCAGTCTCAACTGCGAATGGAGTTAATAATGGTACCCTTCCCTCAAGGGCCCTGATGGGCATTTAGTGAGCTGCCAGAAGACCACTGGGGGGCCTGGTCCAGAGTGAAGTGCTCCCTCAGTGTCAGCAGGCTCCCTCTGCCTCAACCTTTCCCTTCCTTTCCATTTTCTTTCTTTTTTGTTATAATTATTTTATTTAACTTTATTCGTTTACTTATTTATTTACTTATTTTCAATCTGGTCAGAGGGGACCAACACAGAGAGAGAGAGAGAGCCGTGTCTGGGACTTGAACTGTGGTCAACCATGTGGGAGTCCAGCGCCCTTAACCACCACACTACCTGCTGGCCCCCTTCCTTTGCATTTTCTCAGGCCTCCCCACACCTGTGGCTGCCTCGGGGCCTCTGCACTCTGAGTTTGCAGAGCTCCTCCTCTGCTCCTGTCCCAGCCCCTGTCCCAGGCCTCAGCTGTCACTCTGAGGGGGATCCATGACCATTGACCCCCCCACACACATTGCTGTCACTAAGTTCTTGCTTTCTTCCTCATGTTTATCCTGATCTGAACACTTTTCGCTATTTGCCTAGTATTTAGTGTCTGTCTGCTCCCCCAAATGTGAGCTCCATGAGAGCGGGGACTTGCTTCCGTGTTCTCTGCAGGTCCCAGCCCTGTGTGCAGGAGGTGCTCAATAAATACCACAGAACGAATGAATGGAATCCCTTCTTCTGACCAACACGCCAAAGTGGTTGGATTGCATCATCTCTAAGTGCCGAGGTTTGCTCTCCAAGGCCATACACGAAACCATTGACAGGGAAATTATGTTTTCAAAACAAAAATAAGTATTAAAGAGATCTAGGGCCTCAAGAAGAATGCTGGACAACTGGAGACTTGTCAACATGACCGTCTTTCTCCCCTGACCAGTTCTGGCTGGTGACTGGGGATTCTCCCCAAGCTTCCTGGTCCTGAGGATGAGCTGGAAGGTGGTGAGGGTGTTCTGACTTCCTTCCTTGTCTCTCCTTCCTAGCTGAGGGTTGGTGGGCTCGGGGCCAGCCCCACCTTAGGCACCCCATACACCACCCCGCAGTGCAACAACACCCACTTATGTGCTTCTGCCCTTTAGACCCCTCCTCCCTCCAGTGACTACACCATGTGACACTGACCTTCATCCTTAACCACCTTGGCCAGAGCCTTTCTGCTCCTCTGATTGCCCCTCTTTGGCCTTGGTCACAGATTCACACCTGCTTTTCCTCTTCCCAGGGTCCACTGCTTTAGACTGGGTCCTGCTGGGCTCGCCAGCCCTTGGGAAGGAGCCTGGGGTCTGAGAGAAGCTGGACGGCTCAGCTCGCGTTGTGGAGGTGAGTCCACGGGCTATGGGTATTGGTCGTTGCTTATGAGGGTGCTGGCTAGACCCAGGGCTGGAGTATTTCCGGAAGGTCTGGCCTGGCTCCTCATGCCACGCTCTTTATGGACTCGGTGAGGTTTTTATGAACAGTGAGTGTCTCAGGCAGAGTGACCATCGTAGGTGGCAACACTCACTCCAGGACCTTGTCTCTGGGAGAACTGGGAGAGGAACTGTGGCCATCTAGAAAACAAGGAACATAAATACCCACTTGTTTCAGAGCCCAGACAGGTGCTGGGGCACAGACACGACAATAGCTCACACTGGGTTAGCGCGTCCACATGCCAGGATCTGTTCTAGGTGCTGGCCATGCGTCACACTCTTACTGCACTCTCTGCCAAATACTCTGTAAGTTCTCTCTCTCTCTCTCTCTTGCTCTCTCTCTCTCTCTTTTTTTTTCCCTGGAAGTCGTATATGCTCACCAGAGGAACAGAGGGAAAGGGAAAGGGAGGAAGTGCTCCTCAATGGTTACCCCACAATTCCTTCTTCTCCATCCTGTCAGGACTTTGGGGCACACACGCACATGTGCCCGGCATGTTTTTCAAGCCACCAGGGCTGGGGTTCAAACTGCCTAGTTGGCCATGTGGAATATGACTCCCTTAACCACCAGGCCATAGGCCAGCCCTTATTGACGCTCTCTCTTTTTTAGAAGAATTATTTAATTTTATTTATTATTATGATTTTTAAAATTTGCTACAGGGCACACACACATACACCAGAGAAAGCAAGAAAGCAAGTCACCAGGTCTGGGACTCAAACCGTAGCCGACCATGGGGGACTCCAGCATCTTAACCACCATACCACTGGCCGGGCCCCTTATTATCTCTTTTTGCAGGAGAAAACTGAGGCTCAGAGTAGAAACAGCTTGCCAAGGTCACACAGCCAGGGAGTGACAGAGTCTGAGTTTGGAACCAGAGCCTGCACTCCTGACCATACCACACCATCACTCTGCCCTAGTTCCTCACACAAATAAGACTCAGAAGCATCAGAAGCAAACAGATGGGTGGGTAGGTCTCTTCGTCGGGGACCAATAGTGACGTGTACTGGCTCTGACTGCACGCCAGGTCCTGTTCTAACTGCTTTGCGTGTGTTATTAGCTCTTGAATTCTTCGCAGTAGCCCCAGGTGGCAGGGAGTGACATCGTCCCCATCTCACAGATGAGACAGAGATTCGGCAGCTTGCCCACAGTCTTTGGGCTGGTAAGTGGCAGAGCTGGGATTTGAACCCAAAGAGGCCTCTGCTTGATAGTCATGATGCCCGCATGCCAGTTTGCAGGCAACCATGAGGATGCTGAGCCCCATTGTTAGGTGTTACCAAAAAAAATCTTGCACTTGACGCCTAGGATCTGGTGGGGAGCCCAGAGCTGCTGAGGCTTAAGAAACCTTGTGAAGGAATGATTCCCTTGTCTTTAAAATGAGGGTAATGAGATCAGCTCTACCTGCCTCCCAGGATCCTACAAGAATCAAAGAAATAAACTTGTCTTTTTTTTTTTTTCTAAGAATTATTTATTTCATTTTATTTATTATTATCATCATTACTATTTAATTTGACCAGAGAGAGACAGAAAGGGAAAGCAAAAAAGCAAATTGCCAGGTCCAGGACTTGAACCACAGTCAGCTGGGTGGGAGTCCACTGCCCTAACCATCCCGCCAACGGCTTAATTCTCTTGTCTTTAAAATGAGGGTAATGAGATCAGCTCTACCTGCCTCCCAGGGTCCTGCAAGAATAAAAGAGACAAACTTGTAGGGAAGAGCCCCATAAATTATGACCTAATGATCTCAGAAAACCCGATTCCATAGCTCACGTCAGAGGGCGGGGCCAGATGGCTGACCCGCCTCCAAGGTCCTGCCCTCTGGTTCAGGATGCAGGGCTCATCAAAAATAAAGAGGTGATTATTGTAATTGCAAAATAGCTATAAATGAGATGTTTTATTTGATGCTCAGATGTTGAGAGAATTAGGTGTGTGTGTGTGTGTGTGTGTGTGTGTGTGTGTGTGTGTCTCCCCCTCTGTTTTGCTTCGATTATAGTCAAAGGCTCCTGGCTTTGACTCAGAGATGGCTTCTTGTCAGACCTGGTGCTGGGCACATGTGTGGTCAATCCCACTGGGCCTTTCTGCAGCCCTGTCTGGTGAGACTGACATGGCGCCCCTTGCACAGGCCAAGAAACTAAGAAGTAAAACGCCAGGGCTAATGCATGGCAGAGCTGTTCCCAGCCAAGGCAGCTGATGTCAGGTCAGTCTTCTGCCGCTGTTCCACAGGGTCTGCACAGACCTGCGGCACCGGGCTGTCCTTCCCTTCTGGTTCAGAACGTTTGGCTTTAGCTGCACTTTGTCTTGAGTGACCTCTCCCCTCAACTCAGGGCTTTCACTTCTGCTCTTTTTGTGTTAAGAGCTGAGGTCAACACTCTGGTTTGTGCAAGGGGTGCATTTTCTCCACCCTTAGAAGCTCACTGTGGGGCTGAGCCACCCACCCATGTGAGCAACCTCTCGAAGAGCCAGGGTGGCGTGTGCATTACAGATTGTGAAGACTGGGTTCCCCTCACTTCTACATCAGACCTGCTTCTGGCTTCAGTAATTGAATTTACTTTTATTTAAATGATAAAGTGGTCAGAGACAGCAAAAACATTACTTCCATGAAGCCACTGGGTGAATTGACTGAAGATACAAAGAGAATATCAGCTGCTGTGGGCTTGCAGGGCCCGCGTAAATGGGCTGATGGGTTGTGGCGTGGTGTTCCCCAGATCCAAGTGGCTGTGACTTTACTGATATGTTGACATGCTCTGAGGATTCCTCTCCCAGACCGTGGCTTCCAAAGGGGCAGGCCTGGGCTGCATGGTGGGACGTGAGGATGAGGGAGACACATCTCTTCTTGACTCCAACTCATGGGGTGACCAACAGCAACTCTGTGCTGAACAAGTACATGAGTGCGAAGGAGCGATGCCTATAGACTGGAGTCACCACTGGGATGGAGACCTCATTTCCCCCTAGCTGTGGGGCCTTGGGCCAATTATATAATTTCTATGTGCCTCAATTTCTTTACCCATAAAGGTGAGTTAATAGCTGGTTGTATCTCCTGGGATTATTAGGAGGAGTCAGTTATGCAATACAGATAATCCTCACTTAAGTGAATGAGGCAGATGTTTTGTGGTGTGTCATGGCACCATGAGTTATGTATTTTTCAATAGATATCATGTATGGGGAAAGCAGATAGTGTGGTGGTGAAGGTGTTGGACTCCCATATGGCCAACTATGGTTCGAGTCCTGGACCTGGTGGCTTGGTTTCTCACTTTCCTTTTCTCTCTCTCTTGTTTCTCTGGCCAAAATTTTAAAAATAGCAATAATAACAAATAAAATTAAACAAACAATTCTTTAAAAAAATAGATACGTGACACCACACTAGAACAATGTGGTTCTGTCCATACAAAAAGATAAACTTCAGAGAGTGACAAGACACACCACAACACAGCAATGTAAATCTGGCATAATCGTTTTTATTTATTCTGAATTACTGTAGGCACATAATAAAGTACAATTTTTAAAAAAGAATTATTTCATTTTATTTATTATTATTTAAAATTTGCTAAGGGCATGTGTGCTCACCAGAGAGAGACAGAAAGAAGAAAAGGGACAGTGAGAAAGCAAGCTGCCAGCTCCAGGACTTGAACCACAGTTAGCCATGTGGGAGTCCAGCACCTCAATCACCAATGCCTCCAGCAGCTAGGCCCTGCTGGCCCCAGTGAAGTACAAATTTGTAAATGCATGGTTGTAAATGCTTCATGCAGTGAGTAGTAAGTGAATGTGGATGAGACAAAAATGAAGAAAGTGGATTCCCGAGGCTCACACAGACTGAGAAGGGGGATACCCCGTGTTGAGGACTGGTCTTCAGTCCGAGTGATCATTAAGTGGGAAGTAATGTTAGCTGACCCCAAAACACAAGCCTAAAATGATCTTCTCCACTCGTGTTTGCTTTCCCACTCAAATCCGTAACACCCATAAGTTATAAAACCGAGTGCTTTTAAAGCTATGTTGACAAGAGTCTAGCTGGAAGTGCATTCCTGGTTCTTTACCTAACCTGAATAAGTGACTTGGTCTTCTATGCTTCAGTTCCCGTAACTGCAAAATGGATATAAAATTAAAAACCTATTACCAATAGGAAGAATCTAATGCACAATGTATATAAAGCAAATGGGGTCCAAGTTGTGGAAGCATTTGCTAGGAGATGCTGCTACTCAGGAGGCTGAGGCCACATGGTGGCCTGGGTTAGATTCCCAGCCCACCTTCTAAGCTTGGCTAGTGGTGCACACTCATAGTCCCAGCTACTTGGGAGGCTGAGACATGATCGCGACATAAGCGAGACTTTATCTTAAAACAAACAAACAAACAAACAAACAAAACCAAAACGCCAAATATGGTGCTTTTTCTTTTTCACCTCACTGCCAGTATTAATGTTTTGTTTGCATAAGCCTATTTGCAAGTCTGTGCAATAGGTTCTCCAGACCAGGTTTCTTTCCCTCTTGGGTACACAGGAGCACTACATTTCCCATCCTCCTTTGGGGTTAGCAGGGCCCACGTGACTGAGTTCAGGCCAATGGAATGTGAGCAGGAAGAATACGTGCTACTTCTGGACTTAGCCCTTAAGTTTTCTTGTAGATCCTTTTTGTTTGTTTTCTCCTTCATCCACCAGTGTCAATGCTCAGGGTGATCTGGGGAGCCACATGTGAAGTGGTGGAGCCCCTGCCGGCCAAACGCTGCCCTTCATTGCCTGCTCCCTACAGGCCTGCATGGACCGGGACGTGTTGAATAGAACCATCGACGTGGACAGGTTTGTATTTGTTACTGCAGCTAGCAGTGAGTTTTTTCTGACAAAGACCGAATTTTTGAACCTCTACCTAGTGCATACCCCTGCTTACATTTATTTAAGGTCTTGTGTATATTTTAGAGTCTTGCTGGCCGTTAGCCTCCTCAAGTTTGTCTCCATAACCCTAGGTTAGGACCTTACTGCCTTAAAGAACATAACCCACAGTAGTTACTGGTGTGGAGACAATTTCTAAGAGCAACTTCCTTGCTTCAAGGTCCTTCCATAGTGGAGCATTTCTAAAACTATCTCCTTACCTAAGGGTTGTAGTGACAGCCTCAGGTCTCAGGGCAGGGGTCTCCTAAAATGGCCTCATTGATCATATGGACACCTCCTCCAGGCAGCAGTTTCCCCAGAGTGCTTGCTCGCACCCTCATGGCACATCCAGTAGATCAGAGGGGTCACAGAACCAGGCAGGCAGCAGCTCTTCCAGCTGGGCTCCTGGGGTTCTGCTCGGGACCCCCTACCCCCACTAAAGTGAGCACTCCCTGGAGGCCAGACCGGAGGCATCATTCCCCTTTCTCCTCAGTGTCTGCTGCGGGGATGGGGTGCACAGCAGACATTGTTTGTTTGCATAGTTGTTGATTTCAGGGGTCAAGACCATCATGATGGTGTTCTGGAAAAAATAAAAATCCACAGCTTTGGGTGACGTTTATATTAATTGAAAATAATAATGACTTTAACATATTGAATGTCTGTTCTGTTCTAGCCCTTCTGTTATTTCGTTAAACATTCCGTCTGCCCCACAACACACACGTAATCCTGGGAGATGAATTTTAGATAGCCGATGTCCCGGGTGAGTAAGTAGAAGTGTAAAGACTCCAGGCCCAGGGGCCCAGGGCTGAGGAGATGGACCGCAGCCTCTGACTCGGGTGAGCCCAATGGCAGTAACAGCTGACGCTCTCTGGGCTCTGAACTGTGCTGGGAGCAACGCCTGCTGTTTGAGATGAATGGTTTCATTCAGTTCTAATCATCTCCATCTTATTCTTATTATTGACATTTTGCAGGAGAGAAAACCAAGGCTAAGTCTCCTCCTAAGTTTCCACAGCTGAATGGGGACAAGTACGGGATTCCAATCGAGTCTCTCTTCCTTTCGAGCTTGCACTTAGCTCTCACGCGTACCTTGCCATGCCCCTTTCTGCCCCTCAGGACCAGGCCAGGAAAGTACTATTTTGGGGGCAGTGCCTTTTGGGTCCCCACTCTGTAGCCAGGTCGAATCAACCCGCTTGAACGAATGCCTGCTCCGTGTAAACTCTGGCCTGAGCCGTGTAAGATATAGAGAGGACTGGACTGTCCTGGGGTGTGGGCTTCTTGGAAGAACAGAGGGCTGTGCGTCTTCACCTCCAGGCCAAATCAGCCAGTGCCGTAAAAGGAGGGGTGCTGCCAACCTCAGGGAAGAAGAGGCTGCACAGATAGGGGGAGACAGCTTTACCCAGGAAGCAGGACCGTGATGTACCTTATTTGTTCGAATCTGAGTGCCCACGCTGCCACTTGCTAGCTGAGTGACCTTGGAAAGTTCCCTAACCTCTCTGGATCTCCTTTTGCCATCTATAAAATGGAGATAATAAAGGTACCTTCTTTATAGGATCATTATGAAATGAAATATACTAATAATACATATGTATGGCACATAATAAGCTTTATATTATATGCCTATTCTGTTCATTATGAAGGGCCAGTGGGATTTCAGTAGATGAAGAAGACAGGCATACCACACTGAACAGATGCCACAAACAGGGCTTCAGAGCTGAGGAAACACTAGTGTCTTTTGAAAGTGAGGTGTAGTTCAGTCTGGCCGCTTCATATGGGAGCAAGAGGAGATGAGACTAGAAAGAGGAGGGGCTGGCGGGGCCAGCGGA